TGAAAGAGTGGAAATGTTTTTAGCAAAATTGTGCAGCAAAATAAGATCTACAGAACAAGTCAAAATGGTTGAAGTTGTCAATTGAGCCTTTAGAAGAGGGATTGCCCATGAAAGAAGATTTTTACCAATTTTTGTAATTTTATTTTGCAGAAACTATAGAAAGAACAGTAAATTTCAAAAGTGTTCAACACAATAAGATCAACAAATAAGTCAACAAGTTGTTAAAAGAGTTATTTCCCCAAAATGATGATTTTTATCCTTTTTTATGCATTTTTGGTTAAAAAAATAAAGTATCATAACTATTTTGAAAACTTAAATAGATAGCTGTAAAATTGTTAACAGTACAAATGATTAACAATTCAAAATCTTTAAAAATATTTTTAAATAAAATTTACCAACAAGCAAACATAACTGATTGCAATTAAGATAAAATAGATATCAACATGGCCTACTTTTATTTGGTGTTCAATTCAGGCCCTTGGAAGCATCATGTCTTGATACCATCAGAAATAAGAACCTATGAAAAAACTAAGATTTCACATACAGACAAATTTCTCCTATTAAATTCATAAAATACCTTTCATAAATTGTCTGTTTATCATGGTTTTAGATTTAGAACTGATTAAGAAAGTAAGGTTGCAACTCCCTCAGGCAAAGTTTACCTTATATGGATTTGGTTTATATCTTAGGTCCTTTTGGTCTCGCAAGCGACAGTATGCGAGACATAGGTATTACTATCCGTCAGCGGCGGCGTAAACTATTTGTATAAAGCTTAATATTTCAGAAGGTAGAAGACCTGGATGCTTCATATCTTGTATGCAGATACCTTATGTTACGAAGTTTCCGTCAATCATATGTCCATTGTCCTTGACCTCATTTTCATGGTTCAGCTACTGCTTGAAAAAAAAATTAAATTTTTTTGTCATGTGAATATCTCACTTATTATGAGTAATAGGATAACTATATTTGGTATATGGGTTCCTTGCAACGTCTACATGTCTGTCAGACAGTGTTCACCTGACCTCGACCTCATTTAATGGATCAGTGATCAAGGTTAAAGTTACGTGATTAGGTTCGTTTCTCAAATACTATAATCAGTAGGTCAAATATATTTGGAATGATTGTAATGGGTACATGTAAGTCTGGCAGGTTTCATCAGACCTTGACCTCATTTTCATGGTTCATTGGTCAATGTAAGTTTTTGTGTTTTGGTCTGTTTTTCAAGTACTATAAGCAATAGGTAAACTATATTTGGTGTATGGAATGATTGTAAGGTATAAATGTCTGTCTGGAAGGTATCATTCTTACCTTGACCTCATTTTTATGGTTCAAATGGTCAATGTTAAGTTTTTGTGTTTTGGTCTGTTTTTCAAATACCAATAGCAATAGGTTAGCTATATAATTGGGGTATGGAATAATTGTAAGGTGCACATGTCTGTCTGTCAGGTCTCATCTGACCTTGACCTCATATTTAATGTTCATTTCAATGTTAAGTTTTTGTGTTTTGGTCTGTTTTTCAATTAGCATATGCAATAGGTCAACTGTATTTGGTGTATAAAAAAATTGTAAGGTGTATATGTCTGTCTGACACAATTTATCTGACCTTGACCTCATTGTCATAGATTTTTAAAAATGTTAAGTTTCTGTAATGCTTTAAGTAAAACCTTTATCTTTAAGACTTTCAACATAAAATCAATGGTCAGTAAAACAAGTGAGACATTTCAGCGTGTGCACTCTTGTTATTCATATAACTATTTTGGTATTTACACATCCTTGGCTTTCAAACATTTGGCCTTGAGTGATCCTGATAAAGGTAAATCCAGAAAACACTTCTGACACATAAAATTAAAGTGTTGTTAACATGTATGTTAAGCACTAGGGCAATGCTGTTGTGGTGGACTAATAGTCATTGAGGGTATGATCAATTCAGTAGTCAGTACTTTTCTAAGATTGTGCATTTATATATGTATAAATTATTAAGAATCTAACTCCCCCAGGTAAAGTTGACCCTAGATAGATTTGGTCATTATTTTAAGGTCTGTTTTAGTCATGTAAGTCTTCATATGTTTTTGGTTCTTATACATCCTTGGCTTTCAAAATATTTGGCTTTGATCGTTTTTGATGAAGGTAAATCCAGTAAGGTGCCTCGGCAGCAGACAATTTATAAAGTGTTATTTTATTTTTTTTAAAGATGTATATAACATCTCATTGTTCCTTTTACCCTATTAATTCATTACCACCGCATACAGTATCCACCTACATAGTTGACACATTCAGGGAATACTCAATACAACTGTTAGCTGATTAGTTTTGTGGCATTTTGGATGTTTTAAAATTCATCGTAAAATTTTGTCCAAAATGGCCATATGTAGACTACCCTTTTACCCAATCAAAAAATCACATCTGACAGTTGTTTTTATTTTCTCTCGATTTATTTTTCTGTTACTTCATGTTTTAGTCAACAAATAGGGAGTATTTAAAATTAATTTGGTTGGAATTGAAAGTAGAAGGACTTTCACTAATCACAAATCCACTGCTTGCGGAGGTTTCTTCCACGAGGGTATCACCAGCTAAGTAGTCAGCACTTCTATGTTGACAGGAATTATTGATATGGTCTAGGACTATTATACTAAATAATAATAAACTAGTATAATAGTCCCAGATATGGTCATGATTATAAATTAACTGTTAACAAACTTTGAACTTTTCGAAATATAAAGGATTTTCGACACCCAGGAGTAGATTTCCTTAACTGTATGGTGGTAAAACCATTCCGAATTTAGGCCTTTTAAATTATTTTGATTCCAGTGTCACCAATGAGTCTTATATGGACGAAACGCGCATCTGGCGTACATAATTTTAATCCTGGTATCTAAGATGAGTTAACTGACAGGGTTCATATGACCTTTCAGGGATCATTGATACAACATAATTTTTGTAACTCATGATTATGTGTTGCTTTTAATAATCCTTGTGGTTGAAGGCTTCGACATAAGGAGTTAATCGTAATCAGTAAAGCAGCCGAGACATTTCAGTATTTGCACCTTTGTTGCACGTTTTGGCTATTATAGATAGACAGAAATTGTAATCGAAAAATATGATCAGCTATGTAAGATTGTCCAGCAAAATTACATTTCCAGCATGTTTTTATTCAGCATATTTTTATGCGAAAGTCTAAGTAAAAGTGGACAGCAAAATCCAGTTAAGTTTTTAATTTTCTGAAACATAAAATGCATTTGAATTTGATAGATCTAGCACAGGTTTGTCTGCACTCACGAGTAAATTTTGCTGTGAAAACACAGCCACTCTTACCTTTTACGCTTATAAACAAAAGTAGACACAGATTATACATCAACAACCCGTCAACAACAATAACCAAAAGACATCAATAAGGTAACATGCCGTCGTCAACAATAGACAGTTGTCTACACAATATGTGAAGCTCAAAACTGTCTCGAATCAGTCTCAAGTGTTGAGTAGCTGTACTTGTTTCATGATATTCTCAGTGTAGCTGTTCCTTTTATATTTGAAGGCATTCTCTGTTGGGTAGTTTTCTCATATTTTTCATTTTTATGAAAGCTTTATAAGGTTCATGTTGACCCTTTGGCTAAAATGGCTGTGTTTTCACAGCAAAATTTACTTGTGAGTGCAGACAAACCTGTGCTAGAACTATCAAATTCAAATGCATTTTATGTTTCAGAAAATTAAAAACTTAACTGGATTTTGTTTTCCACTTTTTCTTAGACATTCAAATGATGAAACAAACAAACACTACAGGTTCACTTGATATGGTCCACTCAGTTACACAATTTTAAATCTATTGTTGTCAGATATCAATTGTCCATCTATTGTCGATGACTATCAATACAGTTCACCTTAAATATTACTTAAGGGGGAGTTCTCAAATTTTTTTCCCTAACTTTGATTATTTATGTCTCGCTTCTACGAAGTGGAAAAAGCGAGACTTAGGCGTGCTGTTTCCGGCGGAGGCGGCTTCAACAATGTGTTAGTGATTAGGTCGGTTTATGGTGAACCACTAGTGGTAGGTCAATCATATTTGGTATGCTGATTAGCATTGACACATCTCATTTCCATGGAGATGTTTTAGTCCCGTGCCCTCAGTAATGGTCTATGGACCCTGAATGTTTTGCATATTTTACATGATAAATTGTGTGACTGGATCAGTTTAAGATGAACCACTAATGGTAAGTTAATTATATTTGGTATGCAGTTGTATTAGCATTTGAAAGTATAATTTGCATGGAGAATATATGACCTTGCCCCCACATCATGGTTCATTGATTTATAAACCTTATCATAGTTAACAAGTTAAACTTTGTTTAGGTTAGTTTAAAGCAAATCATTTATGATAAGACAACAGCATGTGGTATTCCGTTTTATAAGCATTGGGCATTTCTCATTTCCATGGAGGCTATATGGCCTTACTTCGGCTGTTGTCTGCTCTATGGTCGGGTTGTTGTCTCTTTGACACATTCCCCATTTCCATTCTCAATTTTATTACACCTTCAGTCATGGTTCATTGACTTGGAATGTTTTGGATAGTTTACATGTTTGAATATTGCCATTATAATTTTAATATTTGCATTTTACTATCAACATTACACAAAAAGCGAGACATATCTCCGTGTCATCAGTTTATTGCTATTGTGACAGTCTTTCCAAATTATTAGACTTTATTGGCGAAACATTAAATTTATTTCAGATAGCATGCAATTACTCAAGTATGTTTGCACTTAAGTTTTTTCCATCAAGTTATTGTTGCGGAGATGAACATACTACACAGATGCGTGAAGACTAAGACTATTAAAATGTTGTACTTTAGATTTTTTTTCTTGAACTGTCGCTATATTGCACTTGTTACAGAGGTTAATAGGTTAATATACTTCAAACATGTAGATGGTAAATCTGAGTATTTTTCAGATCTCATGATCTTGAGTCACCTACTCATGAAAGCTGTTGCGTTACTATCATAGCAAAATCATAGATTAAAATTATTTTAATTGGTTCAGCCGTTAACTAGATTGTTTGTCTGGTAATTTTTCACAATTCTAACTTTGGAAAAATGATATTACATCTCTTCTTTATACTACAAGGTAAGATTCACTGTAATTTTCTGTTTTATTAAATTTTAAAAGTTTAGAAGTTTTGCCTCTCGCAAAGTTAACCTTCGATGAATGTCAGATAATAAAATTGAGAATGGAAATGAAATTTAACAATAGTATGTTTAGGTCATTTTTTGTCTTATTGTTTTTTACGTGCTTATGTCTTGTACATTCCTGACTTTCAACATGTTTGATTTTGAACATTTCTGATGAAGGTTAATCCAGAAAACGCTACGGACGCACGAAATTTAAAATGTGTCATTTTATTTACTAGCACTGGGTCTATATCACTGCTGGTGGACTGTTAGTCCCGAAGTGCATCACCAACACAGTAGTCAGTGCTTCGGCACTGCCATGATTTTTAACAATATTCTTCAATTCTCTGTTGATAGATTAAGAAATTATGCAAAAAATAAGGTTCCAACTCCTCAGTAAAATTTGATCTCAGATGAATTTTGGCTATTTTTAGGTCCCGTTTTGTTGTATTGCTCTTCATGTGTTTAGGCCTTATGGACTTTAATTTTTTACCTGGGAAAAGGGAAGGGGGGGGGGGGGGGGTCAAAATGTATGGGGGATCAAGATCAAGTTTTTTTTGTAAGTGGAAAAGGGGGGGTTTAAATTTTTTTATAAATTCAAAATTGGGGAGATCAATTTTATCTCTAATGAAAAATTTGTGAACTTTTGAATCTTCAAGTATATCCTACATATCATGTGTGTCAAAGGTAAGTGTTTTGCATGTTAAAATTTTGGCATGTTTAATAGCGGGGGATCACATTTTTGTATGTTTAATTTCAAAATGACCATCCCCCCTCCCAGGTAAAAGATGATAAGTCCCTTATACATCCCTGCCTATCCAAACTGTTTAGATTTGAGCGTTCCTGGTGAACGTAATTCCAGAAAAAGCGCTTTGGATGCACACAACTTATTTAAAGAGTTATTTTCCTTAAATACACGAATGATAAAACGAACGTTTTCAAAAGTTTTTTTAAAGGAGATTATGTCGGTTTCTTCATTAATATTGCAATAAATATTTTAAAATTTTATTATTTTAACGCACGATTGGCAAGACTGCCTTGCGCGATTTTCTTCAACTTTCAAAATTATTTTAAAGAATGATGGCCTAGGAATTGTACTTTTGAAGCGGTTTTCACTTTTTTCGTTCCAGCATTATAGGATGAGTACGAGTTGGCGAAGGTACGAGTTGTCGTGTACCCATAGGACATAAATCCTGAAAAAAGTATTTTTCTCATTTCGGACATAAACTTCATCAAATAAATAAAAATGGTTGTTTGGCGGTCTGTTTTTTTTTTCTTTTTGATGATTTCAATCTGTCTATTTCTACAGTTATGTCACTTTGGTTCTGTAAAATGTATTTGTTGCATATGCCTTAAATGATTTATATCATACTTCACTCCACATTATTGATAATGGTGGTTTCATGGTCTTTATTCTCGTTGGCGATACTCACTTTGATTCGTAAGCATTATGTTGATGCGATAAATTTAGTTAGACATTGATCTTTAAAATTCACTCCGGATCTGCGAAGCAGGCGAGTTATTTCTGCATGATTTGTTCGCTGAGTTTTAATCTCCAACTTAATGTCAAGGCGATAGAAAGGTGTGCTGTTTTCGGCGTCGGAATTTCCCTCAACTGTTACTTTTAAAAGTTATGATAAGGTGACACAGATGAGACATATCTCTGTATTTGCAGCTCATAATATAAAATGCTGCTTAAAAGATAGCATTGCACCTATCGTATATTACGTGACATATAATGTCTTAAAATTATATAGATTTTTATGTTTTTTGCCAAAAAATAAGAGTATGCAAACAGGTAAATAACTGTGTAAGATAAAGCAAACCTCTTTAGCTGATAGCCGGATTTTCTAATGAATTTAGAGGATGTTTGTTTATAGAATTGTTTCAGTAAATGTTGTTGCATGTTAACACTGTAACGCCAAGTCAAGGTAATTGATGTCAAAAACATTTGATGTTGTTAATTTTTGTTTATTTTGTTATGCAAGTTATAACTCTGACACAGTTCAAAATACGTTGGAAAATGACGATTGGTAAGAAATAAACTGTTCAGTTCAGCTCACTGCAGTTGCGACAACTCTATAATGGATTCATAGGTGGCTTGGTACAAGGCAAATGTCTTTCAAGGATTTCCAGAAAAGCTACCTTCGTTTTCTAATGGTAGTCGATCATTTCCGATTTAGCAGATTTTGCCTAATACATTTATTGTTGATTTGTCCTCGTTCTGAACATGCATGAAATATTTTTCCAATGGATACACAGAAAAAACCAATCAATCAAGTTCTTCCATTAAAGAACATGAAGTGTCTATTTTTTTACGCAAGCATCTGAGGTCATTCTTTGTTAAATCGCCGCGAGAAGTTTCTTTTCTAGAACGATTGAAGCAAGTAAGATCAGACTAAAAGACTAAACACACCAGAATATTAAGATTAATACTTTTGTTCCAATTGGATAATAAACTTGATTGATTAATTGTTGCCTGTCCAACGCCCAATGAAACATGACATTCAGGATATCAAGTATGAAGTGGAAAAAGCGAGACTTAGGCGTGTTGTTTCCGGCGGAGGCGGCTTCAACAATGTGTTAGTGATTAGGTCGGTTTATGGTGAACCACTAGTGGTAGGTCAATCATATTTGGTATGCTGATTAGCATTGACACATCTCATTTCCATGGAGATGTTTTAGTCCCGTGCCCTCAGTAATGGTCTATGGACCCTGAATGTTTTGCATATTTTACATGATAAATTGTGTGACTGGATCAGTTTAAGATGAACCACTAATGGTAAGTTAATTATATTTGGTATGCAGTTGTATTAGCATTTGAAAGTATTATTTCCATGGAGAATATATGACCTTGCCCCCACATCATGGTTCATTGATTTATAAACCTTTGCATAGTTAACAAGTTAAACTTTGTTTAGGTTAGTTTAAAGCAAATCATTTATGATAAGACAACAGCATGTGGTATTCCGTTTTATAAGCATTGGGCATTTCTCATTTCCATGGAGGTTATATGGCCTTACTTCGGCTGTTGTCTGCTCTATGGTCGGGTTGTTGTCTCTTTGACACATTCCCCATTTCCATTCTCAATTTTATTACACCTTCAGTCATGGTTCATTGACTTGGAATGTTTTGGATAGTTTACATGTTTGAATATTGCCATTATAATTTTAATATTTGCATTTTACTATCAACATTACACAAAAAGCGAGACATATCTCCGTGTCATCAGTTTATTGCTATTGTGACAGTCTTTCCAAATTATTAGACTTTATTGGCGAAACATTAAATTTATTTCAGATAGCATGCAATTACTCAAGTATGTTTGCACTTAAGTTTTTTCCATCAAGTTATTGTTGCGGAGATGAATATACTACACAGATGCGTGAAGACTAAGACTATTAAAATGTTGTACTTTAGATTTTTTTTCTTGAACTGTCGCTATATTGCACTTGTTACAGAGGTTAATAGGTTAATATACTTCAAACATGTAGATGGTAAATCTGAGTATTTTTCAGATCTCATGATCTTGAGTCGCCTACTCATGAAAGCTGTTGCGTTACTATCATAGCAAAATCATAGATTAAAATTATTTTAATTGGTTCAGCCGTTAACTAGATTGTTTGTCTGGTAATTTTTCACAATTCTAACTTTGGAAAAATGATATTACATCTCTTCTTTATACTACAAGGTAAGATTCACTGTAATTTTCTGTTTTATTAAATTTTAAAAGTTTAGAAGTTTTGCCTCTCGCAAAGTTAACCTTCGATGAATGTCAGATAATAAAATTGAGAATGGAAATGAAATTTAACAATAGTATGTTTAGGTCATTTTTTGTCTTATTGTTTTTTACGTGCTTATGTCTTGTACATTCCTGACTTTCAACATGTTTGATTTTGAACATTTCTGATGAAGGTTAATCCAGAAAACGCTACGGACGCACGAAATTTAAAATGTGTCATTTTATTTACTAGCACTGGGTCTATATCACTGCTGGTGGACTGTTAGTCCCGAAGTGCATCACCAACACAGTAGTCAGTGCTTCGGCACTGCCATGATTTTTAAAAATATTCTTCAATTCTCTGTTGATAGATTAAGAAATTATGCAGAAAATAAGGTTCCAACTCCTCAGTAAAATTTGATCTCAGATGAATTTTGGCTATTTTTAGGTCCCATTTTGTTGTATTGCTCTTCATGTGTTTAGGCCTTATGGACTTTTAATTTTTTACCTGGGAAAAGGGAGAAGGGGGGGGGGGGGTCACAATGTATGGGGGATCAAGATCAAGTTTTTTTTGTAAATGGAAAAGGGGGGGTTTAAATTTTTTTATAAATTCAAAATTGGGGAGATCAATTTTATCTCTAATGAAAAATTTGTGAACTTTTGAATCTTCAAGTATATCCTACATATCATGTGTGTCAAAGGTAAGTGTTTTGCATGTTAAAATTTTGGCATGTTTAATAGCGGGGGATCACATTTTTGTATGTTTAATTTCAAAATGACCATCCCCCCTCCCAGGTAAAAGATGATAAGTCCCTTATACATCCCTGCCTATCCAAACTGTTTAGATTTGAGCGTTCCTGGTGAACGTAATTCCAGAAAAAGCGCTTTGGATTCACACAACTTATTTAAAGAGTTATTTTCCTTAAATACTCGAATGATAAAACGAACGTTTTCAAAAGTTTTTTTAAAGGAGATTATGTCGGTTTCTTCATTAATATTGCAATAAATATTTTAAAATTTTATTATTTTAACGCACGATTAGCAAGACTGCCTTGCGCGATTTTCTTCAACTTTCAAAATTATTTTAAAGAATGATGGCCTAGGAATTGTACTTTTGAAGCGGTTTTCACTTTTTTCGTTCCAGCATTATAGGATGAGTACGAGTTGGCGAAGGTACGAGTTGTCGTGTACCCATAGGACATAAATCCTGAAAAAAGTATTTTTCTCATTTCGGA